GAAGCTGAAGGTGAGAAGCTGAAGGTGAGAAGTTGCAGGTGTGAAGCTGCAGGTGAGAAGCTGCAGGTGAGAAGCTGAAGGTGATAAGCTGAAGGTGAGAAGCTGAAGGTGAGAAGCTGAAGGTGAGAAGTTGCAGGTGAGAAGCTGCAGATGAGAAGCTGAAGGTGAGAAGCTGCAGGTGATAAGCTGAAGGTGAGAAGCTGAAGGTGAGAAGCTGCAGGTGTGAAGCTGCAGGTGTGAAGCTGCAGGTGAGAAGCTGCAGGTGAGAAGCTGCAGGTGATAAGCTGCAGGTGAGAAGCTGAAGGTGAGAAGCTGAAGGTGAGAAGCTGCAGGTGAGAAGCTGCAGGTGAGAAGCTGCAGACGAGAAGCTGAAGGTGAGAAGCTGCAGGTGAGAAGCTGCAGGTGAGAAGCTGCAGGTGAGAAGCTGAAGGTGAGAAGCTGAAGGTGAGAAGCTGAAGGTGAGAAGCTGAAGGTGAGAAGTTTTAGATACACAGAGGAGAGAGGAAGTTCACCTGAAGGTGACTCACCTTCTAAATGAATCGCTGCTTTGGCTTTTCTGAGGATTTGTTTCAGCGTGGAGTGAGAGCCTGAGGACAAAAACATCCAGAAATATTTGATTAAATATTTTTTCTACATTTTTTTATCCACGAACATCAAAGAATATTACACTTCATATTTCATATTTGAATTATTTCAATAGACACGAAGTAAAACAGGAAGGTTTCATAAATTAATGTCTTATCTGCCTTATTTTAACTGTAGCGTTTACTCGTAGTACCTGCGTGATTTAACTGTAGTATTCTCGTGTTTAACATTTTTTGTGTTAAATAAATGTATTATTATCATTACTATTATCATTATTTGTTGTTGTTGTTATAGTTAGTAGTTGTAGTTAGTAGTTGTAGTTAGTAGTTGTAGTAGTAGTAGTAGTAGTAGTAAGTAATATTAGATATTCACCTGTTTTTTCCTCAGGGTTCGTGAATCTCGGTGCTGCCGGTGGTTCTGAGTGGACCCGTGTGATCTCGGGCCGTTCGCTCCAGAACCAGACAAACAGCCGGACCCCTGCAACACACAGGACCAGGAGAGCCAGGACACCCAGGACCTTCCACATCCACCCCGTGGAGGACTTCTTCTGCTCCACAGAAACCCGGCTCCTCTGCTCAGTGCCGGCCTCCAGGTCGCCCTCTGCGGCTGCGTATCCCATCATGCTTTGCTCTGCGTGTCTCAGTGACTCGTCTGTGTCTCCGTGTCAGTTCTGAGTTGGGCCGGGTGGCCCGCAGTATTTATGCCTCCTCAGCTGCTTCTGCAGAGGGGAAACTCCGGTGATGTCACTCTGAAAGTGGAGACGGTGCAGCAGAGCGGGCCCAGGAACCCAATGGCAACAGGAAAGACGGGTCACAGAATTTTTTTCTTGAGCTCGTTGGGAGCTGTGGTTTCAGGATGGGAAAGTGTTTTTTTGTTTTTTTTTTACCCTAAACAGGAGGCAGACACAAAGTCACTCTGAGCTGCGACTGTAACTGTTGAGGTTAAATCGACAAATATCTGAGGTCAGAACAGATGGTTCCACCAGACATTCAGAACCTTCAGCCACCTGTTTGACTCCACACACACCTGAGACCCACTTCAGCTCCACAGAACCATCTCTGTTCAGAACATCACGTAGAACCGGATGAACTGCGTAATGCAGCGTGAATGAAAAGGTTTCATCTTTAAAAGGTTAGCTAAACTTGAACAGCTAACATGAGCTGAAAGCAGCAGAAAAAACAGCTGAAACGTGGAGAAATGAGCAGAATAAGCTGAAAAAGGCACATGGGCTGAATAGATTACAAAACGTCTGAAATTAGCAACAAAAAAAAGGGAAATGAGAAAAAAAAAGTAGCTGAAAAATATTTTTTTAGCAGAAAGAGACTGAAAGGAGCATAAAAAGTTTACATTACTAGAAGGAATCACAAAAAGTTGGAAATTAGCAACAAAAAATAATAATAGCAGAGAAAAGCTCTAATTTTCTGAAACGTATCCAAAAAGTAGCTGAATCAAATTTGCAGAAAGGAGCTGAACCAGAACAGCAGCTGAAATGAGCAGCAGAAGGTTTTAAACAGCTGAAGGACGTGAAGAGAGCTCCATTTTCAATGAGGAAAACATGGCCGACAAAGCTAAAGATTTCAAAATGGAAAAATTGCACAAAAACCACAAGTCCCGGCAGGAAAGTCCTGAAGGAGCCGAATGTTTTGAGAAGAAAAACGGATCCGTAAAACGTTCGGACGGTTGTTTCCCTCCTCGCCTCCTGACGCACAGATCTGCTCCGAACATTCAAACTTTAGACTTTAATCTCCACAAACATGAAACGCGTCGAGCAGTTTCTGTTACGATAAACAAAAATGGCCCAAACGCAAAGTTTTCATTGATAAACCTGAAACAGAAAAACAAAAACGGACTCATTTAAAGATTCTTCTTTTTCCATATGACCCGTTCACCGCTGAAGGGTCCGCATGTTTGTGTCCACATCAAGTCTCTGTTAGCAAAATATCTTGTGGAAGGCTACATGGACTTTATTGAAGCTTTCAGGAAATATTCCCAGAATGCATGTTTAGATATGATGGCTGCCCTACTTAAGGCTGAACATGTAAAATGATAAACAGTTAGAAAAACATCAGCGTTCTGCACCAACCAGAGACTGACGGAGACCAGCTGACCCGTTTGTAGAGTTCTGACCCGCTGCGGCAGAACTTTCTCTTTTGTTGTGTAGACGCTGAGTCAGCATTCACTCCTTTGTTTCCCTGATTTTATTTTTTATACGTCGACTCCTCCTGCAGACTTGGTGGGTTTTTTTTATTTATTGTCGTCGTTTGTTTTTTTAGCTGTTCATAAATAAAACGTTCGGCTTGTTCACAGACAGTGCGCTGAGTTTTGGCTGTTTTGCTTTTGTACTTTTCTAAATATTTAACTTTATTTACAAACATTTCTTCGTGAAACTGAAGAGATTACTCGTTTTATTCTCTGCAGTTTCTTCAGAAACGGTTTAATTTGAAATCTGTCTCAACAAACGAGCTCGATCTTTGTTTTCTTAAGCTACTTTTGGTTTTTACCTACTTTTCTGCTACGTCACTTGTAGCCATCTTCTTTTTTTTTAATTTTATAACATTTAGCAAACAATTTGCTACTTTTAGCTGCAGATAGCCGTTTGCTGCTTTTGGCTTTTAGTCAACATTTTTCTACTTTTAGCTTTTTGCTGCCATTTAGCTTTATAGCTTATTGCTAGCTTTTCCAACTTTTAACTTTTGGTCAGCCTTCTTCTAATTTTAGATTTTAATGAACAGTTTGTTACTTTTAGTATTTAGTTAGCCTATTGCTATTTTTAGCTTTTAGATTGTTATTTTACTTATGGCTTTTAGTTAACATTTTGTTACTTTTAGCTTTAAGTTAACATTTTGCTACTTTTAGCTTTTAGTCAGCCTTAGATTTAAACTTTTTTTTTTTACTTTTAGATTTTAGTTAGCCAAATGGAACTTTTAGCTTTTAGTTAGCCTATTGGAACTTTTAGCTTTTAGTTAGTCTATTGGAACTTTTAGCTTTTAGTTATCCAAATGGAACTTTTAGCTTTTAGTTAGCCAATTGGAACTTTTAGCTTTTAGTTAGCCAATTGGAACTTTTAGCTTTTAGTTAGCCAATTGGAACTTTTAGCTTTTAGTTAGCCTATTGGGTACTTTTAAGTATTGGTCAGCCTTTTGGTAATTTTAGCTTTTAGTTAGCCTTTTGCTACTTTCAGCATTTAAACTTTTTTTTTTTTTTTTACTTTTAGCTTTTAGTTAAATTTTGTTCTTTTATCTTTTAGCTAGCTTTTTGCCACTTTTATCTTTTAAGCAACATTTTAGTTTCACTTTGTGGTTTTGCATCTTGTTTGGTTTTGTTTCATTTTTCATCTGTTTTTTTTTATTTTTGTGTGTTTATTTATTTATTGTGGCTCATCGTTGTAAAGTTTGTCACTTTTTGGGGGGAATGTTTTTGTCAGTTGTATATTTATGGTGATCATTATTAGAAGTTTAACCTAACAGATAATCAATCATCTCCTTCCTGTTGCTTCCTCTCAATGTTTTTATGGTTTAAATTTATTTATTGAAGTTATCGTCGTAATGATCGGCCGTTTGTTGTCGTGTGAACAGCTGTACGATCATTTTGGTGTCTTTGAACAGTTTTCATGTCCTTGCAGATTCGTCTTGTCTCTGTGATCGCTGAGCTCATTAGCTGTGGTTCCGTTTGTGTTGCTCGTTGGGTTTTGGTTTGTTTCGTGGAGTTAAAGCACCGACTGCACCTGCAGCGTTGGTTGGAGCAACTCTGAATCAGGAACCAGCAGGGAACCTGAACCTTCTGGTCTCGTCTTGTTTGTTTGATTCCAGCCTGGAACACGAACCATGCACAGGATGATGTCTGATGATGTCATCACCATCAGCACCCACACCTTTGTTTTTCCTCCTGCTCACTCACCCGCCTCCTCTCGGTTGTTCAGAGGGAGGTTCACCAGTCGAAGCTCTCGGTCGGATGACTCCACAGGAAGCTCCTGAATCACTTTCATTCCCTAAATGTCAATCAAAACCAAACCTAACCTTTAAACACCAACAGGTGTGTTTCAGACTCGCATCAAGTTCAAGAATCTTTATTATCCCCGGGGGGCGATTTGTTTCACAGTCGGTAAATATCAAACATCCGTACTAGACGAGACATCGAGACATTAAAGTAACAGAAATCATCGTTCGCTGAGAAGCCTGATCACTACAGGGATGAATGAGTGTTTCAGTCTGTTCCTCCAACATCTGGGCAGCAGATACCTGCGTCCAGAAGGAAGCAGCCTGAACTCACCATGGAGTGGATGATCAGGATCTGCCAGAATCAGCCTGGCCCTGTTCACTGACCTCACCTGGTGCAGGTCAGTGAGGTTCTGTAGGTCAGAGAGGTTCTGTAGGTCAGTGAGGTTCTGTAGGTCAGTGAGGTTCTGTAGATCAGTGAGGTTCTGTAGGTCAGAGATGTTCTGTAGATCAGTGAGGTTCTGTAGGTCAGAGAGGTTCTGTAGATCAGTGAGGTTCTGTAGGTCAGTGAGGTTCTGTAGGTCAGAGAGGTTATGTAGGTCAGTGAGGTTCTGTAGGTCAGTGAGGTTCTGTAGGTCAGAGATGTTCTGTAGATCAGTGAGGTTCTGTAGGTCAGAGAGGTTCTGT